CTAGGAGGAATTGAACCGGCAACCTTACGATTTGTAACCTGGGAGCATAACCGCTATGCTATCGACCCACAGGTCATTAAAAAATTATATAGCAATAGTAACATAAAGGAAATATATATAAGTTTATGGAAAATGATGTAAATAATGTAATTCAGGAGTAAAAGTCAAAAAAAAATAAATTAGTTAGTTTTCGTTCTAATTCTGTAATTAATAAATTAATTTATATACTCTTACACATAGTATGAGGAACTTATCTTTGGTATTGCATAACTACAGAATGATACTAAATTGAATTTACAATAAACAGAGCACCAAATGACCTATCAAATACACTTGGGAGGGAAAATCTCGTATTTGCTCTTGTATACAGTTTCTATTATGTCTTGCCTAGGCAATTACAATTCATAAATCACAAGGCTTGACATTGCTGCAAGCTGTCATAAATATTGGAAATAAAGAATTTGCAATAGTTCTTACATTCGTAGATGTATTAAGAGTTCGTATCTTTAACGATCTTCTTTTTGATAGTGCATTCTCTTTTGACAAATTACAAAAATTAGGACAAAGTGCACGTTTGCAACAAAGATTATTAGAAAAATATAATATTAAAATAATAGGAATTCATAAAATTTAAATATTTATGTACTATATATTTTAAATTTAATTTTATATAAATTGTAGGATCTAAGAATTGAGACTCCAGCCTATAAAAACGTTGTCATTTTTCTAGTAATAATAAGAATAATAACAAATATATTAAATACATAATCAGATGACTAATATAAAACTTATATTTCAATAAACTAAATATCAATATGTATACTTGTTGAACTTAAATTTCAATTCCCATTATTTGGCAAGATTCATTTCGCTCAAATAAAGCCTTTATTCTTTTTTGATGAAAATTCAGGTTTAAAAAATTGTATTTTATTCTTTGCCAAGATTTATTTTCATTCAAATAAAAGTATTGTTTCTTGTCGAAGACAAAAAATTCAGTTTTAAAAAATTGAATTAAATTTCGATTCCTATTCTTTGGCAAAATCTATTTTTGTTCAAACAAAGGTATTTATTTGTTTCTAATTATTTTTTGTTTCTTGTCGAAGATGAAAAATTCGGGTTTAAAAAATTAATTTGGCAAGATTAATTTGGCAAGATACATTTTCGTTTAAATGAAAGCATTTATTTATTTCTAATTATTATTTTTTTTTTATTGAAGATGAAAAATATATAAACAACTATAAACATATAAAATTTTTTACTTTGATTTCATTTATCATAATTTTTCATGCATTCTTGACAAATATTAATAATAACTTGGTCACTTGAAATCCTAACCCAAAATTCATTTTTAAACCAGTTGATTATATTTAACTTTTAATAACGGCACCTGTTCGAGCAATATATTTGTTATAAAAATCTAATTTATATTCAATTCCTTCTTGTTAAGGTTTATTGGTTGATATGAACAATTTTTTTTATACAAACTAAAGCACTTCAAACATTTTAGAACAAGCATTCAGGCAAAAATTTAAAATCATTAACATTATTGTTATGACAATCATAAAATTATTAATTATTTTTAGAGATATTAAATGGTTTGAAAAAACTTAAGTTCCAAATTGCTTATTGTGCTTATTAAGTTTGCAGTTCAATTTTTGTTTAAAACTTCAGTTCAAACTTAAATTAGAAAAGACATGATTTTCAAACTAGCTTATAGCTCTTAATTTGGCAAATGGCTTTTGTTTGATGTTTCTAAACTAATTTATTGTTTTTAGTTTTAACAGTTAGTTCTCATTTAAAGTTTATGGTCTTAATTTGGCAACCAGTTTTTGTTTGAACAGTTTATTGTTCTTAATTCAGTAAATGGGTTTGTTCAAATGGTTTATTGTTTCTTATTATGGAAATTTGGTTATTGTTTGAACCTTATATTAATCATGTGATTATAACTTCGAACATAAAAAATACGAAAGACAAAAGCCATTATATAGAAATAAAATAATAAATTGATTTTTTTATTTAAAGAGAAAGTTTTTACTTTCGAATGTTAAATTTTTGCATCATAGACAACAATACTAATATCATTGAAGAACAAAACCCTTTATATACAAAATTCTTTGCAAAAAGAATTAAATGTAGATCCTTTAACTATAGAAGCATTATTTGATAATTCATTAAATAAAAAATGAAAAAAACCTCATTCCTTACATGAACATCTTAAACCAAGTGATAGCAAGATTTTCGTTTGCTATATACCATGTCTAGGACAATATCCTTAAGTAAAATGGCAAAAATCAACAGGAATTAGTACAATTAAAATGCATTTTAGAAAATATCATACAGATATTTACAATTAAATAGAGTTAGAATTTAAAAAAACTAAAACAGTTCAATCTTACGGAATAGATAATGAAGCAAAAGTTAAATGTATTACTTATCTACTTATAAAGTGGATTATTTGTAATCAACAGCCTTTTATGGTCGTCGAAGATCCTAGTTTCGTTGAATTTATTAAAGAACTTGATGAATAGTATCGATTACCATCTGGCCAAACTATATCTAATCAGATCGAGGCAATTTATCAAAATCAAAAATTATTATTAAAAAATTTTTTAAAAACAATAAGAAAATTGGCTATTACAACTAATTCATAGACTACTTGCAATAATAGTGATTATATATCCATAATGCTCCATTGGATTGATAATAATTGGAATGCACAAAAATTGCTTCTCGATTTCGTTCCTGTTAAAGATAATCATACGGGATTAAATATTTCAAATACTATTTTAAAAATTATTACTTTTTATGAAATTGGAAAAAAAATAATTGCTACAACAACTGATAATGTAGCAAATATGATTACCTTCGCTTCTCACTTACGATGAAGCCTTGATAAAAATTTTAATAATAACGATTTCAACATTATCGTTGTGCTGTCCACACTTTAAACTTAATCGTCGTGGAAGGGTTAAAACTTGTTGATTCTTCTATTATAAAAGCAAGATCATTTGCATCTACTATATGCAATTCACAACCAATTTTTAGAGAATTGAAAGATATATTTAAAATGAAAAATATGAAGTTTCTTGTACCTGATTTAGACATTCCAACTCGTTGGAATAGCATGTTTCTAATAATTGAAAAATTAAGAAGAATTAAAGAAATGACTGATATTCTTGTTGCATCAAATAATTCATTAAAATCAAATTACCCAACTGAATCAGAATGGTTAGAACTTGAAGAAATCTATAATCTTCTTAACCTCATTTATCAAGCAACTTTAATGCTTTCATCATCAAGTCATCCAACTTTAGAAGATCTTCATTTAATATTCACAACAATTAATAGATCTTTTGACGAAATTATCTATAATACAAGTGAAGAAACTACAACTAAGCTCGTCACAACGGTTATGGCAATTAAATTTGATGAGTATTGGCAAAAATTAGATCAATCATCCTTTATAATTGCTTCACTCAATCCAAATGTTAAGCTTTCATTATACAACACAGAAAAACAATATAAGGCTCAAGAATATATGAAAAACCTTTATTCAAAATATAATACCTCTAATACTAGCTCATCATCCAAAATGAATACTGTACAATTAACTTCACGCGATTATTTCAAGAAGGCTTTTAAGCATTCGTTTAATTCTCCTGGTGTAGCAAGTGAATTACAAAACTATCTTAAGTTAGCAGAAGTTGATTGTGAGGTATTATCATGGTGGAAAGCTTATACAAATAATCAAAATTACAAAAATATTGCCAAAATGGTGCAAGACTACCTGTGCATACAGGCTACTAGCATACCAAGTGAGCAGGTATTCTCAGTTGCCAAACATACCATAAACTAGGGATGTAAATGACCTGGTCATTTGCTCAAAATTTAAATGACTCAGTCATTTGGTTAAATGACCCTGGTCATTTGGTCATTAGGTCATTTGGGTCATTTATGCATAAAGTAATTTTATTG